ACTACGAAAATAATCACAATAATTTAACTCTGACACCACTCACACAAATATTAAATAAACAGCACTGGAGTCAAACAATTACTTAAAACAAAACAACAAAGAACAGGTATTTCCTACAGCTGACGATGAATCTTTCTCCTAACCAGCACGGTGGAATGTTCTGGTAACGCGGTGATACGCTCTCAGGGGGAAGGTCCAGGGCAGCTTCCTCACTTGGCGCCGGTGTTGGTGGGCGATGTCTTGCCACACAGGAGAGACGCCAGGGCATGAATGGTGGATAGGGCATGGAGGAAGTGGCGATCATGTGGCAGCCGCGGCAGTAGCTGGAGTAGGTGACCGGAGTTGACAGCCGAATAGTGAAGGACTGGGGAATCAGCCCACGAGCCCCAGGAACCTCAAATGAGTACACAACCAGATTTGGAATCGATTAGCGGGGTGAAGTACAGCTGTGGTGACGGCTGGATCGTGTCTGGCGTGCGACGAGGCGGCAGCGACCTTCTCACCTCCGTCTCTCCCCACTAGTGGGGCCGCGAACAAGCAAACGGGCGGCGGACAACCATCCCGTTCGTTACAGCCCTTACAGGGGTGATAGGAGGGATGGTAGGGGAGAGGAGATCACTGGGAAATCCTTGGTGGATGGAAGAGGTGGTGGTGGATAAGAGTGAGGTTTAGTTGACAGGGGCTTTGTCAGAGACGAGGGCGGTGGAACAAGGTAAGTTTTCCCTGGGCGAGTGCCAGGACGCTGTGGGCAGTTGGCATTTCAGGTGTAGTGACTGCCATGGCAGTTGACACACCGTGGAACAATTGGGATTTTGTTCTGAATTTTCGATTTGCATTCCACTGTGTCGTGAGGATCTGCACAGAAACTGCAGGCGACCATCCTCGTGCACTCCCAGGTGCGGTGTTTCCACGATTGGCAACGACCACAGATTTTCAGGGTTCCTATAAATCAGTCGAGAGTACAGTTGTGAATAGGTCCTACACTCACCTTCGGGGGGAGGGGGCCCACCCACCAGCCGAAGAGTTCGTTGGATGAACGTTTGGAGACCGGGTTGAGGCGGCACTCCATTTCGAGTAGTTGTGGGAGAAGAGGGCGAAGATCGTCGATAGGAATCTCCCAGGGTACGAAGCGAGCCATTACCTTGGTACGATGAGTTTCTGGGGTGATGGTGGTGAACATCAAGAGGAAAGCCTACTTGAGTGAGCAGGTAGGTCTCGTCCATTTGTGTGGTGACTATTATGGCTGTAGGACCTCGGCGGAGGCGAAGTGTTGAGTCCTGAAGTGGAGAGCAGTGATGGAAGAACCAGGTCGTCCGTGTGCTCAGAGGCAAGTCCGGAGGAAAGGCGAGACGACGAAGGCGCGACGGGGCAGGGAGACAAAGGGAATCCCCTATGTCCATCGTCGGCGGAGGGTCGGTCATTGAGCCACATGTAAGCTCATTTGGGGACCCCGACGGCAGGAGTCCACCCTCTACAGCCCCAGACGGGGTGCGAGGGGGAGCCGTAGCCCCCTGCTGGAGACCCTGACTTCTGAGGTTTCTTCTTCTTAGATTTGTCTTCAAAATGAAAGTCGTCAGCATCACTGTCACCTACTGCCGCCGTCTCCAACGAAAGGGAGCGTTTAACGGCAGTATAGGGCACTGGATGGTAGGACCAGATGCTTTTATCTACAAAAATGACAAAGTCCAATACTTAAAAAAAATAGATGCCACTGTGGTGATAACTGGGTCTTACTATAGTTTTCTGCACAGACTGGGATTAGTAGACTCGCTGAATTCGTCAGAAATACGACTTTTAAGGAGCAATTTCTTTCAGCCTTTGATGACACCCACGGCACGCTTACGAGTTGCTATTCTTGTTTTGATTTCTTCTGTACATCTACCATCACAGCTAATGTTTCGTCTCAAATGCACAAAATTTACTTAAAGATAGATGGATAGATTTCATTATACTTGATGAGAAGAATAATTAATTCCCTTAGCAATGTGTTATTGTCTGTCTTTATGTATGTATGCATGTTTGCCTGTTTATCTGTCTGTCTGTCTGTCTGTCTGTCCGACGCTATGTTTATAAAAAAAAAATATTATTTATTTATTTTCAACTGGTTACTCAACATGTTTTAGCAATTCAATATTTCACTATCAAATCCTAATAATTCCTACTTATTATTTACCAACAGATAACAAGCGTTTAGTAATGTCGGCTCCAGCTATCTCAGCGCTAGTGGTTGGTACCCTTCTGACGGCTACCCAAGGTTATAGTGTTTCCAGAGTACTGCCACCAGCAGGAGCCCCCTCACCAATACCACCACAACTACTGCCACCAGCAGGAGCCCCTTCACCACTACCATCACCAACAGGAGCCCCTTCACCACTATCATCACCAACAGGAGCCCCTTCACCACTACCATCACCAACAGGAGCCCCTTCACCACTACCATCACCAACAGGAGCCCCTTCACCACTACCATCACCAACAGGAGCCCCTTCACCACTACCACCACAACTACTGCCACCACTACCACCACCAGCAGGAGCCCCTTCACCACTACCACCACAACGACTGCCACCACTACCACCAGCAGGAGCTCCTTCGCCACTACCACCACAACGACTGCCATCGCTACCACCACCACCACAACTACTGCCACCTCTACCACCAGCAGGAGCCCCGTCACCACAACTACTACTACTACTACCACTACTACCACCAGGAAGAAACATTGATACTAGTGGTTTAACAGGAAGAAACATTGATAATAGTGGTTTAACAGGAAGAAACATTGATACCAGTGGTTTAACAGGAAGAAACATTGATACCAGTGGTTTAACAGGAAGAAACATTGATACCAGTGGTTTAACAGAAAGAAACATTGATACCAGTGGTTTAACAGGAAGAAACAATGATACCAGTGGTTTAAGAGGAAGAAGCATTGATACCAGTGGTTTAAGAGGAAGAAGCATTGATACCAGTGGTTTAAGAGGAAGAAACATTGATACCAGTGGTTTAAGAGGAAGAAACAATGATACCAGTGGTTACACAGGAAGAAACATTGATACCAGTGGTTTAAGAAGAAGAAACAATGATACCAGTGGTTTAACAGAAAGAAACATTGATACCAGTGGTTTAAGAGGAAGAAACATTGATACCAGTGGTTTAAGAGGAAGAAACAATGATACCAGTGGTTTAACAGGAAGAAACATTGATACTAGTGGTTTAACTGGAAGAAACATTGATACCAGTGGTTTAAGAGGAAGAAGCATTGATACCAGAGGTTTAAGAGGAAGAAACAATGATACCAGTGGTATAAGAGGAAGAAACATTGATACCAGTGGTTTAACAGGAAGAAACATTGATACCAATGGTTTAACAGGAAGAAACATTGATACCAGTGGTTTAAGAGAAAGAAGCATTGATACCAGTGGTTTAAGAGGAAGAAGTATTGATACCAGTGGTTTAAGAGGAAGAAACAATGATACCAGTGGTTTAACAGGAAGAAACATTGATACTAGTGGTTTAACTGGAAGAAACATTGATACCAGTGGTTTAAGAGGAAGAAGCATTGATACCAGAGGTTTAAGAGGAAGAAACAATGATACCAGTGGTTTAAGAGGAAGAAACATTGATATCGGTGGTTTAACAGGAAGAAACATTGATACCAGTGGTTTAACAGGAAGAAACATTGATACCAGTGGTTTAAGAGGAAGAAGCATTGATACCAGTGGTTTAACAGGAAGAAACATTGATACCAGTGGTTTAAGAGGAAGAAGCATTGATAACAGTGGTTCAAGAGGAAGAAACATTGATACCAGTGGTTTAAGAGGAAGAAACATTGATACCAGTGGTTTAAGAGGAAGAAACATTGATACCAGTGGTTTAACAGGAAGAAACATTGATAACAGTGGTTTAACAGGAAGAAACATTGATAACAGTGGTTTAATAGGAAGAAACATTGAAACCAGTGGTTTAACAGGAAGAAACATTGATACCAGTGGTTTAACAGGAAGAAGCATTGATACCAGTGGTTTAATAGGAAGAAACATTGATACCAGTGGTTTAACAGGAAGAAACATTGATACCAGTGGTTTAATAGGAAGAAACATTGATACCAGTGGTTTAACAGGAAGAAGCATTGATACCAGTGGTTTAACAGGAAGAAACATTGATACCAGTGGTTTAAGAGGAAGAAACATTGATAACAGTGGTTTATCAGGAAGAAACATTGATAACAGTGGTTTAAGAGGAAGAAACATTGATAACATTGGTTTAAGAGGAAGAAGCATTGATACCAGTGGTTTAACAGGAAGAAACATTGATACCAGTGGTTTAAGAGGAAGAAACATTGATAACAGTGGTTTAACAGGAAAACATTGATACCAGTGGAGGAAGAAACATTGAAACAGTGGTTTAACAGGAAGAAGCATTGATACCAGTGGTTTAAGAGGAGAGGAAACATTGATACCAGTGGTTTAAGAGGAAGAAACATTGATACCAGTGGTTTAACAGGAAGAAGCATTGATACCAGTGGTTTAATAGGAAGAAACATTGATACCAGTGGTTTAATAGGAAGAAACATTGATACCAGTGGTTTAAGAGGAAGAAGCATTGATACCAGTGGTTTAACAGGAAGAAACATTGATACCAGTGGTTTAATAGGAAGAAACATTGATACCAGTGGTTTAAGAGGAAGAAGCATTGATACCAGTGGTTTAACAGGAAGAAACATTGATACCAGTGGTTTAACAGGAAGAAACATTGATACCAGTGGTTTAACAGGAAGAAGCATTGATACCAGTGGTTTAACAGGAAGAAACATTGATACCAGTGGTTTAACAGGAAGAAACATTGATACCAGTGGTTTAAGAGGAAGAAACATTGATACCAGTGGTTTAACAGGAAGAAACATTGATACCAGTGGTTTTAACAGGAAGAAACATTTATACCAGTGGTTTAAGAGGAAGAAACATTGATACCAGTGGTTTAACAGGAGAAGCATTGATACCAGTGGTTTAATAGGAAGAAACAATGATACCAGTGGTTTAACAGGAAGAAACATTGATACCAGTGGTTTAACAGGAAGAAACATTGATACCAGTGGTTTAACAGGAAGAAACATTGATACCAGTGGTTTAAGAAGGACAGGAAAACATTGATACCAGTGGTTTAAGAGGAAGAAACATTGATACCAGATGGTTTAACAGGAAGAAGCATTGATACCAGTGGTTTAATAGGAAGAAACATTGATACCAGTGGTTTAATAGGAAGAAACATTGATACCAGTGGTTTAACAGGAAGAAACATTGATACCAGTGGTTTAACAGGAAGAAACATTTATACCAGTGGTTTAAGAGGAAGAAGCATTGATACCAGTGGTTTAACAGGAAGAAACATTGATACCGGTGGTTTAAGAGGAAGAAACATTGATAACAGTGGTTTAACAGGAAGAAACATTGATACCAGTGGTTTAACAGGAAGAAACATTGATACCAGTGGTTTAACAGGAAGAAGCATTTATACCAGTGGTTTAACAGGAAGAAACATAGATTCCAGTGGTTTAAAAGGAAGAAACATTTATACCAGTGGTTTAACAGGAAGAAACAATGATACCAATGGTTTAACAGGAGGAAGCATTGATACCAGTGGTTTAACAGGAAGAAACAATGATACCAGTGGTTTAACAGGAAGAAACAATGATACCAGTGGTTTAACAGGAAGAAACAATGATACCAGTGGTTTAACACTAAGTGTCAATACAATGAAGGATTCAGAAACAAGTGACAAGAGATCATATGCCGCCTTGAGATCACGTAATGTCGAGGCAACTGACATAAAATCCATCATCAGGGAGGAAGGGTTGGTAGGTGCAGGTGATAGTGGTGGCAACAAAGAAAGAATAATACGTGAAAATTTCTTCGGAAGGCCAGTCCCCATGCCAAGAACAGCAGAGAGAATAAGCCATCACTTTGAGGAACCCCGAGACATCCGCCAAAACTGGACCTCTATGTTGAACGAGATCTTAGGAGATGGTGAAAACTTTTTAGACGCTGGTATAGATTACGGAGATATAGAAAGGGTCCAGAGATACGCTAGCACAAAACGTCAAAGGAAAGGAAATAATGATAAGAAGAAGAAAAAGAAAAAGAAAAAAAAATGTAAGAAGAATCCGTGGAAAGCTACAGGCAAACCTTGTATAGTTCAGGACATCATCACCCCTGCCACAACTTTCTTCAACATCGATACTTTCTTGACGCATCTTTTCAACAGCGTGTGTGACCTTGACCCAGCGAATGTACTCATGAAAATAGTAAATTCCAGCAGTACCAATTCTAGATATATCAACTCAATCCCTGTGGCCAGATGTAACGAAACACTAATTGGGTGCAGCTTTGGTGAGCACCGTGGGATAGTTCAAGAATACAAGGAAAGAAACGCCGAGATCAACATTATCAGTTCCATTAACAGTTCAAAATCTGGTGTTCTCCGTTTAGTGTATAGAGATGCTAAAAGCTGTACATGTACTTCAGATGTTACAAGAGAACCTGAACACTATCCGAAAGTACTCAACGTGACAGTAATATTCGAGGGTAAGGAGACACAAGTGAAAAAGGAATGTTACCAACACCTAGTGCTTGACTGACACGATCCACGCCCTTCACAGTCATGGCGACTACGGAGATCATTAGCATCTTTTAAAACATGTAAAACGAACGATCTAAACCTAACATAACCTGCTTAACCTCATCTAACTTAACTACATTAATAAATCCTTAGGTTAGGTTATGTCAGGTCAGGTCAATAGGTTTGGTTAGGTTCTATTTGCTTTGATTCGAATTTTGAATTATCATTCTTGCTTTCTTTCCGATAAACCTCATTAGAGATGTGGGCTTTAACTTACTTAGTTATATCATATCTTAAATTATGGATTCCCGAAATTCAAATTCGGAGAAAATTATATACTGTAAACAGGCCAACTAAACCTAACCATCTTGACACACGTTTTACTTAAGTTAGTAAGGTTAACCAAGACTGGTTATGTTTGGTTGGTTCGTTTTTCTTATTAAAATTTTAATATATTATAACAGCCGCCAAGATGACCCTACAACACAAACTATAACAATCTTTATCATCATCTACGCTCTCCTACCACCAACTCTATGTCAATATACTCTTCTTTACCCCAAAACATATTTCTTTCAATAACTTATTAAGATCTGAAAACATCTAAAAGAATCGTTATTCCTGTGAGTCTCCTGTCAGGTGCTTTTTGTGACACTCAGTCAGCCAATTTACTCTCGCTGTTAGAAATTCGCTCTATGAATATTCTTCCTTGGTAAAGATGTAAAAATATTCCCCTTAAGAGCAATATAATATAATGCTTCATTAAATATATTGCACTGCAAAACACAATTTTTCAACCATAGTATAAGTAAATTTATACATCTTAGTTACCGTATCTATAAAAATATTTTATGTAACTTTATATCAAACTTATTTGTTAAATGTTGTGAAAAAAATAAATGTATATATACTAGTATATTCCGAAATACTGTATAGATTTGTTATTATGAATTGTTAGATACATTTCGAGAATAGATTAGGATAGGTGTTGTCTAATAGTATGACGAGTGAGGTGACGTGTATTGGTAAAGATAAGAATTATATTAGTTACAGCAATAATAGTAATACAATACATGTTTATTATTATTACCGCCTCTGCTAATATACCGCCACGATTGCTTCTACTGACTATACTACTATAATTTGTGATTGGTTTATAGCTGTATTTTCACTAGTTCTGTATTATCACTATCACTGCCTTGCATCAGCGTTATGTAACATGAGCCATTATTCCTGTAATTATTGTGTAGGCATTTGAAGACTGTAGCCTATCCTACTGTAGATAGTAGATACTATCATGAAAATAAACTGGTACCTGATGATTTCTCCCCTTATCATTACACTTTTAGATTAAGTAAGTGTATATTACTCAAATTAATTACATGTTTGTCATGAATATGTGTACACACAGCTAAATAAAGTACTAAACTATAAAATCAACTTACTGAGATCACGGAACAACCTTGTAAAGCAATGCCAGCACGGTTTTATGCCTGGACGGCTGACACTCTTGCTTTACACTTTCCCTTATCCTCTTCGTTACTGTTACTGTTACTGTTAGCTGCTTGGGCGGTCGGTCACGTCTCTGTTCCTCATTGTTGGCAAATACTGGGCATGTATCTGTTGTATACCTGCGCCAGTTTGGGTCTTGAATGAACTCACACTCGGTGCGGCCACAACACTAGCATCGTTATTACAACAATTCACAACTGTCACTCCGAAACAGTTTTGAAAATTTCTGAACTTGTAGTTTCTTCTACCTTGAGCTGTGACTTATAGAGCAGTGGGCATCCGCCAGCTCCAGGTATGAACACTCGAGTAAATAATGTCCTCTGAGGTGGTTTCTATTAAGTCACCCCTTGCCCGCCTATAGTCTAAGCTGGGCAACTACAGGCGTTCGATCGATCGATGGATGGAGTAAAGTATGAAGAAATCTTGATGCAGGTGCGTAGATTGGTGGTACGGGAACTGGACTTGAAGAATAATGGTGGAATTTGGAGGGACTTGGGGTTGGTGGATAGTGCAGAAGAAAAGCGAGGAAATTGGAAAATAGTAGTAGAATGCTAGGTCTTGGGGCTCAACCCAAGTGCTTCTGTTATCTCATGTTTGTGTTTCAGCTAATTTTCTAATCTCTCTGGGTTCCTGAGGTGCAGTAGTGCAAGCACCAGGCTGGTGGTCCTCCTTTGGACGTTTTCAATCAACTAGCAGTTTCTAGCATACCTCGGGTACCAGACGTGGTGACAGTACCTAGGGCGGGAAAACACCCCACCTTCTTATGAAACGTATATAAGATTAGTTGCTAGGGTTAACATCCACACTTCAGGATGCAGGCCGTCCTGTGACATTCCTATGGATACCCAGTCATGTCGGTATCTTGGGGAATGAGGCAGCAGATGGCCTTGCCAAGACTGGCTGCAACAAGGCCACACCTGACTACGTTGTTCCTCGAACACTTTTACAGCTTAGGACCCAAATTCGCCGCAAACAAAGAGAAGCTCGGGAAGCAGCCATCCCCCTGGACTCCCCGCCCACCTGGTACGATGTCCGTAAACTTCCTGACCTCTCGTATGTCTATGGGAAAGGGTCGCGGAAAGGGAACGTGATTGCTGCCCGTATCATCATTGGGTATGACTTTGTTTGGGAGATTGGTATCCCCGCATCCCCTGAGCAACGCTCTTGTGCATTATGCAGAAGACCCGACAGCCGCACCCTTATCCACTACCTCCTAAGATGTCCACACACACAACGCTTCCCCATACTGGCCAGATATTATGTAAATAACATTGATTATGTGTTAAAGGAATATCCTTCCTTCCTTAGGCTTTAGTAAGCCCCTTTATAATATTTATACCGTATATACTTGTCACACTTGCCAGATGCTTCTGGTGTTATTGTACAGGGGTACCTAGTGACAGCACTAGGATCCCGCTTCCTCTATCAAGGAATAAACAATTGAAATTGAATTGATTAGTTGCTTGATTCATCTTTTTCATTGTTAATAATTTCCAGTCATAAGAACATAAGAATGGAGGAAACTGCAGCGGGCCTATTGACCCATACTGGGGATCTTTGGCTCATTCCAGCATCATTACAATAATATCTTAAATGTTCTGAGAGCTGAGTTCACCAACTGTCAAAGTAATTTATCATAAAGGGCACAAGGTCAGGATCAATTTTCATATAATTTTCACATGGCAATTTCTGACACAAGGACTTGCAATTCCTGTAGACTTTGGAAAATGAAACTAGAGAAAACTATATAACTATTTAACTTGCAGTTCGCTAAGCTATCATGCAGAACGAATAAAAGAAAATACTTCTTCACATAGAGGCTGGTAGACCTATGGAACGGTCTACCAGCCCTAACTGTGGAATCAAGAACATGCATTGGTCTTCAAAATAGCCCTTATATAATATTATCAAGAACAATGGAGGGATCTTATACAGGCCACTGGCTCCCTTCACCCATTTTGGTCACCAACCTGTAGGTGGGGAGGCCGTAAAGTAATTTATCTATTATGATCCTCAATACAGTTTAAACTTATAACACAGCGGGTGAAGGCTCGGTTGTTTACATCACCAGCTGATCTAATCTGGTGGTTAGTTTCGTCTGCTGGTGAAGAGTCGTGACGGTACACTGATAACTGGTCACTAAGTAAGGTAATTATGGTAGTGTACACCTGCTGATGAAGACAGTGAAGGGATAATTGTTATGGCTGATACAGTATTAACTGTTTAGAACTTTACGTAAGAAAGATCGAAGTGAGGGCATCTACTGTACTGTGTAGCTAATGTTAACTACCGAACTACGTAAACTTTGGGACAGTAATCCCGAGTTGGTAATTATATAGGACTAACCCGCGAGCGAAATTGATTGAAAACAATTATAAAAATGCCGGATTTTAATTGTTACAGTAGACTGTTGTAGTTTGTGTCAATGTGTTAAAAATTAATATTTTTAAAATAAACGCTACTTAACATTCGTGGGTATGAAGACCAGACCAGACCAAACAAACCTACCTAACTTCCCTGGTATATTAAAGAGAAAGAACTTACTGTGATGGGTGAAATTTGAGGCATTTACTGGACGCCAGATGATACGGCCGCATCGGCGCTATGCAGCCCTGGCGGGTTAGTCCTATATATTAACCTCCGAGTTACCTAACAACTTGATAAACTGACCTCCATTCTTGTGCAAATTAGCAGTTTGTTTAAGATACAAAAAATATTTTTTTTGCAAAATCTGCTAATTTGCACAAGAAATGGAGGTCAGATTTGAGTAAAACACACAATAAACACCAAATAAACCTATTCTCGTACCAAAACCTGAGGAGAGCTAATAGACGAATATTTACCGAGTTAGGTAAGGTTCGGTAGGTTTGTTTGGTTAGGTTGATGAGGTCTGTTTTTCATACCCACTAAGGTTAGGTTAGGTTTAATTTAGAGATAACCACTTTTTAACACATTTGCACGGACTACAACAGTGTCCACTATATAAAAAAAAGTAAAATTGCAACATTTTTAAAATCGTTTTCTATGAAAAGTCGGCCGCGGGTCAGTCGTCAATAATTACCAGAATTACACTGATGGTTTTTTGTTTATACTGTAGATTTTCCTGTAAAATAAGGTTACACAATGTTTGAGGTTGAACTGTTGACAAACACTTCTCAGTGAACCAACCAAATGCTGAGTGACAGAATCCTTCGCAGTAACCTTAACATACAATATGAAATAAGCACTCCATCCTACTTAACCTAATCAAACCTCACCAACCTAACTTAACCTGTCTTAACTTAACCTACCTAGCTTAACCTAGCCTGTCTAACTTAATTTAACCTACCTAACTTAACCTAGCCTGTTTAACTTAATTTAACCTACCCAACTTACCTAACTTGCTTAACATAGCCGAACCTAACCTTCAGTTGTTTGTGTGTACAGTTGTACCCCGCTTAACGCGGTTTCACTTAACGTGATTTCTCGTATACGCGGTGCCTCGCCAGAACCGAACTTTCACTTAACGTGGTTCATCTACTCATATACGCGGGAAGCGGCGCTGGCACGATGCGCACAAGGTCGCCCAGTCATCAAAACATTACCGAGTTCTTCACCCGCCACCCACCACAGCCGGCCCAAGTCAGTGATAGTGATAATGATAGTGAGGATATGGACTTATATGGACTTTGAGGGGTTTGACAAAGAGGCCCTGCAAGCCTCTGTGGTGGATAGTGAAACAATTGATACAAGTGATACAGGTGAGGGCCAATAATCTGCCCTCTGCCTCGGAACCAACCCCCCCATCCCCATGTGCCCAGCCATCTTTTCTACTAATGTAAGTGTTAAAAAACCTAATATTATTGATATTTCTCTTAATTATTAATTGTGTGTGCATACCATCATAAAGTTAAGATAATATTTTTACTACAACATAGTTGTGTGTCGTCAAAAAAAGGAGTTTGGGGGTCCGGCCAGTCTCTATTGGAATTAATCCCATATGTTCTGTTGTTCACTTAACACGGTACCCTGTGGGTTCAATTGACCGCGTTAAGCGGGGTACAACTGTATATAAAAAACAATGCTGGGACGTGTTTGGATGTGTTGCCAAACTAACATTATGAAAATTGCAAATCCTTGTTGTCCACTGTTTGGATTATCCTAAGATAATAATATATATTAAAATTGTCAATAAAAATAATTTCACAATGGAATTTGTTTTAAGGTCTGTGAAATATTCCGGCCATCTCAAGAACAGCTGAAGCATAAAGAGTGATAGCACACAGCTTTGTCTGAGTGTACAACAGAAAGAGAAGGGACTGATGCCCGTTTTTGCTTGGAACTTTTGAACTGCTGATTTTTTTCCTCAACACAAGAGCATTTTAACATACCAATGTTACCATAGAAAGGTTAATGAATGAAATTAGGTTTACCTTTTAATTTATCTTTTTTTAAGGATGGGTAAGGTAATGTCTGCTATGAGTAGACGGGCCACCAAACCTCTCCGAGAATTCAACCTGGAGACTCGGGTGATGAAAGAGATAACCAAGGAGAGGCGTCCTGCAGCACCTTGGCACGAGTCAACTGCTAAGCTTATCCAACAGTCCGTGCAGGGTAACTATTGTACTGACTCTGTCCTTGCTGTAACACTTCATGCTTGACCACTAATTTTATACTTCATCAGTGTTTATGGTCTGTAATACACAAAATTGTTTCTTTACTCGAGGGCTTTTAAGTGAGGTTGTTTTCAGAATGTCTTTGTGATGCAGCAGAACTTTTAAACACTCTGATTGGTTGTGTACAGTATAGTTAATTCTTTTCATTAACAAACACATAATAACCCGGATGTGTAGCGTAAATAATCTTCCAGTCAGGTTCTAAGATAATGATCCCAGATGAAGCAGTCTGTGACCAACACTCCTCAAGGTAGAAATCTAATGAGAGTTAAGAGGTGAAGTTGGTCAGGTTCTCTTAGTGGGTAGTAAAGTTATCTTTTATTATTAATCCTGATGTTTGCAGCTCAGCCAGAAGAGATGACGAGGCAGCTGGAGGAACGAGACGACCACTTGTTAGACAGACTCAAGAAGGTGTACGTGCAGTCTGTGGATCCTGAGGTGAGTGTGTGAGCCATTGGTGGTACAGCAGTCATGTGTGTATCTCACCAGTTTGTCCTGGGTTCAGGTGTTATCCAGTGTGATACTATCAAACATGGCAGGTTTTCTCTGGGTACTACAGTTTCCTCCTGTAATAACACTGGTCAATGAAGGTCATAACAGTCACAAAGAACAGTTGTGACTGGGATTTAATGACATGCATATTTGGGATAGTATTGCATAGTATTTACATACTAATACACATTTGTAATCCACAGCCACAGACACAGCCACAAATACCAGAGAACCTTGATCGACCGCTGCCCACAGATCGTACAGTTCTACCTGACCTGGACTTTGGCTTTTACGAGCCAAAGGTAAGCTTCCAGCTGTCTATATAAGTGATGCTTTATTTAAAAAATAAAGTAACTCAGCCATAGCCATCCCCATGGCTGGTTTGGATTTAATTAATTTGACAGTTATTTAAGGCTATTTGTGGACCCAATGAAGTATGTGTGTGTGGAGGAGGGAGAGAAAAAGTTTGTGCGGGGGAGGAAAAAGACTTTATGAAGAGGGGAAGGAAGACTTTGTGTGTGAAGGAGGGGGTGGAAGACTTGTGTTATTGTCATGTGATGAACTTTTTTTTTTATGGGGAATAGCCCACCTGGGCACAGGTCATCGACCCACAATGGGGCCTAGGGGGTGAAAAAATAAGAGTTAAAAGAAATTATAAATAGAAAAGAAAAAGGTTATATTAATCTACACCACGAAGATGCCAGAAAACCAGCTTTTTAAAGTGATAGATTGTAAGAGTATGGAAACACAGAAGGTAGAGCATTCCACAGTTTGGCTGTGTGAGGAAAGAAGGATGTACTATAACGGGTTATTGTAGTGTGACCAACAGGCACAGAGAAACGGTGGGCACCGCAGGCAAGACAAGTATTATGAACCCACGGCCTTGCCGGCGGTACATAGGATGCCAAATCCACCGAACATTACCCATTAAAGTACCTGTAAAAGAGAGAGTGAAGCAACATTGCAGTGAAGAGGACGAGAAGAAAGATTATCAACTAAAGGAGGAGAGTTAATAAGATGAAAAGCCTATGATTCCACCCTATCAAACAGTTGGACAGAAGAAGAGCCACCCCAGATATGAGAGCAGTACTCCAAGTTAGGACGAATGAATCCTTTATAAACTTGAAGCAACTGCTCAGGAGTGAAGTAGCTATGGCATCTGTACAACATTCCCAGCATTTGGGAGGCAGCTTTAGCAATGTTGAGGATGTGTTGCTTCCATGACAGATTGGAGGAAATGGTGAGGTCTAGCATATCTATTTTAGAATTTGGCAGAATGATTGCATCCTGAAATGTGATTGGTGGGATATCATCTAATTTGGAAAGTGTAATTAGTAAATACTTAGTTTTATTACTATTGAATTTAACCAAGTTTCTACCTCCTCATTTGGAGATACTGCACAGATCCACATTGATAGATGTAATGATACCAGCTCTAGAAACAGATCTGGTTTGAGAATTAGGGGGAAGGGGAAAATGTGAAGAAGAGTGAAGAGTAGAATCATTAGTTGCAGTGTGAAGTAAATCTTTGGTAAAAAGGAGGAAGAGAGTTGATGAAAGAACAGAACCCTGTGGGGTACCAGTATTGGTAGATAAAGAGCGAGAGATCGATTCCTTAACAATAACAGCCATTTATCAGTTCTCAACGAAGCTAGAAATTAGAGAAAGTGGGGGAGAGAAATCATAAGAGGGAAGTTCAGAAAGCTTTGGAGATGTCGAGGGCCATGATGAAAGTTTCCCAATAATCCCTAAGAGAGGATGACCAAAGATGGGTGCAGTAAAGGTATGTAAGCATGTTTGTGTGTGTGTAAATTATAATAAAGGTAATTTTTTGTGCAGTCTGTACCTTATGGGAAGATAACGCTGAGAGACGCTGTGGATGCCATCTCAAAGCACCAACAAGACCCTGAACTATGGACGCCCAAGAAAATCTCCTATGAATTCAAGTTAGACACAGGCTTGACAGGTAAAACACAAATTCACACCTCTCAATTATTTTTTAACTTTAGGATAAAAAAAAATAATTCCTTTGTGATTTTTTGAATTTGCAAAAGTAAATAACATTTTGTAAACGATAATTTTTTTAAGTGGTCATAAAAACACAGCACAGCTTTCCAGGAGATTGTTTCATACTACATACTTCTCTCCCATTGTCATTACCACTTTTCCAGGATCGATGCTACACACTTCTCTATCGTCATCAGTACCACTCTTCTCAGTTCCCCAGACTCGCATACTTCTTCTCCAACAGTCTACATTTGCTGTTAAGGATGGAACTTGCGGCCCATTGTGTCATCTCCTTGTGCGCTATACAATACTACATTCAGAGCTCCAAGTGTTCTTCTTCCTTGCATTATTCTATTGTATTATCTACTTGCTTATCTATTTCTCTCCTAAAACTCAAAGTCATAATCTCTGGGTGTTTGCCATCCATAACTCTGTAATGTTGTAGTGGAACGTATTCCTCTCATGTGACAGTCTACATTCTTTGTCATCATCGTGTTTCTGTATCGACCCACAGTTACTCATTTGTTTCTTACACTTCCTGTATCACTCCGCCCATGATGGCATTAAATAACCGTTTATATCAGATCACTCGCTCACATTACCATTTTATATCACATCACTGTACTCTCCCATATAGTCTGTTATAGAGTGGTTTCACATTTGATGGACCTTGATATAATGGACTACTCTCCCATATAGTCCGTTATATAGAGGTTTCACATCTAGCGGACCTTGATATAATGGACTGTACTCTCCCATAAACCTGTTAAATAGAGGTCTTGCTGTACTGATTTTATATTTCAGAAAAAGTTCTTCATCACTTCCGCACCTTTGTACTGATTGTCCCTGGAGACCCCAAGACAACCAGAGTTACCAGCGAGATGTTACAGAACCTCTCGCTCTCTGCTCCTGATACTCTTAGGGAACTGACCAGTAGTAAGAGTGAAGAGAGGAATAATGTGAATAAGAAGAGTTGATGATTATTGTTGGCACTGTAATTGTGTTATTAATAAGGTACAGTACTGTATGGTGTTATAGGGATAATAAAGAGATTGGTGGATCAGTGACTGTAACAAGAAGAGGATTTATTTAACTTATACTATACTGTACTCTAGCCACATGTTTGTTAAGTGCAGCTGTCAGATACAAAAAAAAATCATAGTACAGTACATAAATGATTATGTTTAACTTCCACATGATTCAGTAGCCAGTGATAAGTAATTGACAATGTATGGTAAACCCTCTCAATACCAGATTAATTCATGCCAACCTTGTCCCTTATTGAGAGGATTCCTTTGATGGGAGGGTTTCATTTTTTGCCTAATTGTATATATAAAAATTTTACACATAATTTCCGAGTATCACAATGCTCGGCTTATACAGTACACTTGAGTATGAGGAATCCAAATAGCTTGCTCTCAGAGTTTCTGTATCAAGTTTTAACAGTTTCCACCATTAATTTGACATTAAGCACTTTGTTCTCTTCTTTCACTGCTGTATCAGTACCATCACTTGTGTGTTTGTTTAGACACATTTAAGAGCAGTGCACCTGGTTATTAGCAGTGTTCCCATTACCAGATCCTATCAGCTGTGTCCACTACTTATACCAGACCAAAAGTGTCCCTTATTGGGAATATCCCTGAGTAAGAAGCCCCTTTTTGAGAGGGTTCACTGTAGTTACACTTTTTATGAGCATAAATTTAATATGTTAAGGGTAAAGTAGTCCACAGAAATTCCAGGAGAGGTACCGTATGTGTTGATGGAACTTGCTATTTAGGACAAGAACATCAGTAACATGTATATCTCAATACTGTATCCTGGATTCAATTCCTGGCCTGGGACAGATGTGAGAAGAATGTTACCAGTGTGATCCTACCGGATTTTGCACATTTTTTTTCTGGGTACTCAAGTTTCCTCCTGTACAGTATAAACACTGGACACTACAGGTCATAACAAAGAATAGATCAACCACCTGAATGGCTAGTAAGTGTTTAAGGGGGAATGGAAATGTGTATGAGTGATGAGCAAATTTGTACAAAGAGATGGTTAACTTATGGGGAGTAATACTAAGTTACTGTGATCACCGTCCACCATCACTCTTCATTTGTTCTGAAGATCAGTAACTGCACAGAACAGTTGCCAAATGATTTTCTTTTGTGAATACAGAAGGATCATAAGGTTCAATGGTGTACAAGATCACAACAGTACTGTTCACTTCTCACATACTGTGCTCACTTGTGTGTCGTAAATGTTGACATACAGAACTTGGACCTAAATGTTTTAGTCTTTCTTTTTTTATAGTTTCTTGAGTACCTTTATATTCATATTTATTGTTGCCTAGTTTTGTAAAAAATGTAATTAATGAATTTATATATAATGATGTAAATAGTTTTTAAATAAAGAATTTTCTTAATAATATTAATTTTATCAAGCAAAGGCTCTGATCATCCTATGGAGGGTGAACCACAGTCAAGGACACGGCTCATCTAAATCTTCTGTATACAGTTATATGTTTCATGACGTGTGGCATTAAATAATTTTGGTTCTATTCACACAGTTTGCCTCCACTCCTGCAAGTCATGAAGTACAACATAATTGACACACTACCCTCACCAGAACGACCTTGATAACTGAATTTATTACCCAATTTCTTTCATTCAAGAAACAAAAGCCCGAATCTCAACAAGCATTGTTAGAGATGACACAACACTTCTTTCTTATTCCAAAATAATAGAGCATTTGCAATGTTCACATTTTGATGAAAATTTTTTTTATCTTGAACAATACCCCAGTAATATATGTGGACATGCTAGCTTCTGACAACACCATATTGCCTGTTTACACAAGTATGGGATGTTTTATAGACAAGAAAACTTTAATATTTACCAGCAATTGTTCCACACACACACACTAACACTCCCAGCGACTGTTCCACACACACACTAACACTCCCAGCGACTGTTCCACTCACACTAACACTCCCAGCGACTGTTCCACACACACTCTAACACTCCCAGCAATTGTTCCACACACTAACACTCCCAACGACTGTTCCACACACACTCTAACACCACACTGTTCCACACACACTAACACCCCATTACTACTAGACTGTTCCACACACTAACACTCCCAGCGACTGTTCCACACACACACACTAACACTCCCAGCTTACTCCACACACACACACACACACCAACACTCCCAGACTGTTCACACACACACTAATACCCTGCAACTGTTCCACACACACTAACACTCCCTGCAACTGTTTCACATACTAGTACTAACAATACCTGCAACTGTTCACACACACCTAACACTCCCAAGCGACTGTTCCACACACACTTCAGCAACTGTTCCACACACATACTAACACTCAACAACTGTTCCACACACACACATAACACTCCCAGCAACTGTTCCACACACTAACACTCCTGCAACTGTTCCACACACACATACTAACCTCCCAACAACATTCCACTAACACTCCCATACTGTTCCGCACACACCAACACTCCCAGCTGACTGTTCCACACACACCAACACTCCCAGCGACTGTTCCACACACATACTAACACCCTGCAACTGTTCACACACACTAACACCCCCAGCTACTGTTCCACACTAACATTCCCAGCAACTGTTCCACACACACATACTAACACTCCCTGCAACTGTTCCACAGACACATACTAACACTCCCTGCAACTGTTCCACACACATACTAACACTCCCTAACTGTTCCACACACACACTAACACCCTAGCTACTGTTCACACACACTAACACTCCCTGCAACTGTTCCACACACACTAACACTCCCTGCAACTGTTCCACTCACACTAACACTCCCTGCAACTGTTCCACACACACTAACACTCCCTGCAACTGTTCCACACACACTAACACTCCCTGCAACTGTTCCACACACACTAACACTCCCTGCAACTGTTCCACACATACTAACACTCCCTGCAACTGTTCCACACACACTAACACTCCCTGCAACTGTTCCACTCACACTAACATTCCCTGCAACTGTTCCACACACACTAACACTCCCTGTGGCTGTTCCACATACACCAACACTCCCAGCGACTGGTACAGTGGTCCCCTGGTTAACGGGCACAAATCGTTCCAGAAGGTTGCTCGTTAACCGAAAAACTCGTTAACAGAAACCATTGTTTCAATGGGTTTTTGGGTAATTGGTTCCAGCTCACCAAAAATTGCCTAAAATCAACAAAAAAGGTAGTAAAGTACACTTACTTTGAGGTGTGTATGTAGAAGGCTCCTGGATGATGATGATGGGAATTAGAATGGGGGTGGTGGAGAAGGGAGAAGAGAAGGCATTGGGGTGGAAGAGAAGTCACCCCATGGCGCCATTTCACCAATAAAATTTTAGTTCTCTTGGTGTAATTCAAGATTATTTTCTTTAAATCAACACTGCACTGCATTATATATTGTCAATATGTAAAATAAATTTCAAATTAACCAATAATTTGCTTGGAAACAGAAAAAAAGTGTTTAGTTGAAGAGAGTCTGAAGCAAGATGTTACCTCCAACGAAAAGACACGGAGACTGACGCCAGTATGTGTGTTGACAGGCTGTTTGGCACGCAAAAATCTAGCTTCCTATACTACTTCAATTATGTTCAATAATTGTTAAAATGACAAAAAAATTTAATATAAAACTTTTAAAATTATTGAATAGTACAAACTTCTTGATATTTACTAAAATAGTTAGGAATTTAAGCCCTAAAACCGATTACTGTATTGGCGGACTACTACTACAGCTGGTGGACCGCCAAATGCAAGGGAAAACATGTGGAGGGGTGCTCGTTAAGAATCTTATGGAAGGTAAATCGTTAACCAAGGCGCTCGTTAACCGAGTGATCACTGTACATTAAATTATTTTTCATAGATGACCCAACCAAAATTACCTAACCATCTGATCCTGGGATGGAATTACAGGTACTGTACTTGTACATTATTTTAGGTCAGGTTAGGTTTGGTAAGCTATGGAAAGGTTGATGGGAATTGTTCAATAAATTTTAGTACAGTGATCCTGTAGTGGACGTCTCCCCTACAAACTGCGTATCGCATTCCAATGTGCCGCCTTCCCTAGCAACTAACCAGATGTTACCGTATCTTAGCAACGGAACCAGTCACCGGCGACTTTCTGGGTTTTCCCAACATGACTCATGGCGGCTGCTGCGGGGTATATAAGCTCTGTCTCTCCATTGAGATTCATTCTGACCATTCTTCTTGAACAAGCAACACCTCCTCCGGCGCTGCCTGGCAGCCTTCGCTTCTCCTCGCCTGCCTGGCGGTCCTCTCTCCCACCAGCGAGCATGGCGACCCACCAGCTGTCCTTCTCTGAGCTTTCTCACCAACCAACTCTCATTCTGCCCATCTTCCTGAACAAGCAACACCTCCAGCACCAGACTGTCTATCATATAACTTATATTATACAAGAAAACCACATTAGAGTTTCCTTCCATCCTGAGTGCTAGACAACATTAATATCTCGATACCCCTACAATCCCTTGGTTAACGAGTTACATCCCATAAGATTCTTAACTTCAGTTAACGAGCAATGCCTTGGTTAACGAGTTTCTTAAGAGCCGACCTCAACATGTTTTCGCTTGCACTTGGCGGGCAACCAGCTGTAGTATTAGTCCACCAATACAGTAATCGGTTCTAGGGCTTAGATTCCTTACTATTTTAGTAAATACAGTGACCCCTCCGTTAACGAACTCAATCCGTTCCAGAAGGTCGTTCGTTAACCGAAACCATTGTTTCAATGGGTTTTTGGGTAATTGGTTCCAGCTCACCGAAAATTTCCTAAATTCAACAAAAATGGTAGAAAAGTTCACTTACTTTGAGGTGTGTATGTAGAAGGCTCCTGGATGATGATGATGATGATGGGATTTAGAATGGTGGTGGAGGAGAAGGGAGAAGAGAAGGCATTGGGGTGGAAGAGAAGTCACCCCATGGCGCCATTTCACCCATAAAATTTTAGCTCTCTTGGTGTAATTCAAGATTATTTTCTTTAAATCAACACTGCACTGCATTATATATTGTCAATATGTAAAATATATTTCAAAATGACCAATAATTTGCTTGGAAACACAGAAAAAAAGCATTTAGTTGAAGAGAGTCTCAAGCAAGATGTTACCTCCAGTGAAAACAGAGAGAGACTAACGCCTGTTTGCTGTGTTAAGAGGCTGGATGCAGTGCATTAAACAAGTCACTTTACCTTCAATTATGTTCAATAATATAATTGTTAAAATAACTAAAAAATTGAATATTAAACTTTTAAAATTATTGAATAGTATAAACTTCTTGATATTTACTAAAATAGTAAGGAATTTAAGCCCTAGAACCGATTAATGTATTGGTGGACTGATACTAAAGCTGGTTGCCCGGAAGGTGCAAGCGAAAACATGTTGAGGTCGGTTCGTAAGAACTTCGTTAACCGAATCTTTTTTCGTTAACCGAATTGAAGATCCTTATGGAAGGCAGTTCGTTAATCGAAATTACGTTAACCGAGGTGTTCGTTAAACGAGGGGTCACTGTATCAATTAGTTTATACTATTCAATAATTTTAAAAGTTTAATATAAAATTTTTTAGTCATTTTAACAATTATTGAACATAATTGAAGGTAAAGTCACTAGTTTTATGCGCGTCATCCAGCCTTTTAACACACCAAACAAGTGTTAGTCTCTCTCTGTTTTCAGTGGAGGTAACATCTTGCTTGAGACTCTTTTCAACTAAACGCTTTTTTCTGTGTTTCCAAGCAAATTATTGGTCATTTTGAAATTTATTTTACATATTGACAATATATAGCGCAGTGCAGTGTTATTTTAAAGAAAATATTTTTTATTTACAGCTAGTTTAACTTTAAAAAACACGTGTTGACATTGTTTGAATCCAGAATGGGGCCTAAGAGATCAAGAAAAGCGATTTCAATTCGACCCAAGCAGGAAATTATAAAAAAAAAACATGAACAAGGCATTAGAACAAATGCGCTATGCAAAGAATATGGCATGTCGACATCAACTGTGTCGACAATTCTTGCACAGAAAGACAAATTTAAAGAAGTGAAAGTGAGAGACAAATCTACCAGAGTGTTTAAAAGTAGATCCCTAATTGCAGAAACTGAGAGGTTACTTCTCATCTGGATTAGGGAAAAACAGATGAAAGGTGATTCAGTTTCTACTGAATTCATTTGTGAAAGAGCCAGGGAGATTTACGAACATTTAAAGACATATCAACCTGGTTCTTCAGGCACAGAATTTGAAGATTTTCGGGCCAGCAAAGGCTGGTTCGAAAAGAAGTGACATTTTCAGTGTTGTTAGGCATGATGAAGCTACTAGTGCTGATAAGGAAGGGGCAGCAAAGTTTTTA